TAGAATAATAAGCCACAGGGACCTGAGTCCCATCAGCCGTCAAATGGCTAAGTACAGCACCCACACCGTAGGGGGAGGCATCACAAGCCAGACACACTGGCAACTGCTCATTGAAATGAGCCAACACCGCATTGGATGTAAGCAAGGCTTTAACCTCATTGAAACTGGCCTCATGGACTTTGGTCCAGCGCCAACAAGCTTTTTTGTCAAGAAGTCTGTGTAAAGGTTCTGCAATAGCAGCTTTATGAGGTAGAAAAGCATGATAAAAATTCAGTAAACCCAAAAAGCCTTGCAATTCGCCCTTAGACTTGGGGCTTGGAGCCTTCTGAATAGCTTTGAGCTTAGCATCAGACGGGTGGATACCCTGAGCATCTATCCTGAATCCCAGGAAGTCAGTGAAGTGCACACCAATCTTACATTTGTCCTGTTTTAATTTAAGGCCTGCACTTCGGAAACGAAGCAACACAGCCCTTAACCTCTCAGCCAGCATTTGTGGAGAGTCACCTGCGATGAGAACGTCATCAAAATAAGGACACACACCAGGAATACCCCTCAGGGTGTTTTCCATTACACTCTGAAAAATGCCAGGAGCGACATTCACCCCAAACTGTAACCTCTTCACCTTGAAAGCCCCCCGATGGGTGACAATAGTTTGGGCCTCAGCTGCTGCATCATCAACAGACAGCTGTTGATATGCTTGAGCCAGATCAAGCTTAGCAAAAAATTTTCCCTCCTTGAGAGAAGCCAGAATGTGGTTCACTACAGGCACAGGATAAGCATGTTGCTGTAGGGCCTTGTTTAGTGTGCACTTGTAGTCAGCACAAATCCGGATGTCCCCGTTTGCCTTTAACGGTGTTACTATGGGGGTTTCCCACGGGCTGGAATCTACAGGCTCTAGAATGCCTTGCTGGAGCAACTTGTCCAGTTCAGTGTCAATCTTACTCTTAAGAGCAAATGGTACTCTCCTAGGTTTAACCCTGATGGGCTGTACCGTTGGATCTAGCTTTAGTGAAACTGGAGGTCCTGTGTAGGACCCTAGTTCAGAACTGAACACATCTGCAAACTTCTTGCATACGTCTGCAAGGGTCTCTGTTTGCAACTTATGTAGCCCTGTTACTTGTATTCCCAAGGCCTCAAACCAATCGAGTCCAATGAGACTTGTTCGCTCACCCCCCACAACCAACACGTCTAGGGGGCCTGTAAAATTCTTCTACTGTACCTTAAGGGTGGCCTCCCCCTTAACGCACACTTGAGAATTTTGGAAATCCATAAGGATTACATTAGAGGGCCTTAACGAAAGTCGCTGGCCACTGCTGCTGCAGATTTTTGTGAAATGTGTTGAGGGAAATTATGGATAGGGCAGACCCCGTGTCAAGTTCCATCGACAATGGAACTCCCTGCAATTTCACTTTAAGAGATAGTTTCTTTTTAAGGGGTTTGTGTGTGCCTATTCTTAAAATGTTCCGGCGTGTTGCACAGAACCCCANTTAAGAGCAAATGGTACTCTCCTAGGTTTAACCCTGATGGGCTGTACCGTTGGATCTAGCTTTAGTGAAACTGGAGGTCCTGTGTAGGACCCTAGTTCAGAACTGAACACATCTGCAAACTCCTTGCATACGTCTGCAAGGGTCTCTGTTTGCAACTTATGTAGCCCTGTTACTTGTATTCCCAAGGCCTCAAACCAATTGAGTCCAATGAGACTCGTTTGCTCACCCCCCACAACCAACACGTCTAGGGGGCCTGCAAAATTCTTATACTGTACCTTAAGGGTGGCCTCCCCCTTAACACACACTTGAGAATTTTGGAAATCCATAAGGATTACATTAGAAGGCCTTAACGAAACTCGCTGGCCACTGCTGCTGCAGATTTTGTGAAATGTGTTGAGGGAAATTATGGATAGAGCAGACCCCGTGTCAAGTTCCATCGACAATGGAACTCCCTGCAATTTCACTTTAAGAGATAATTTCTTTTTAAGGGGTTTGTGTGTGCCTATTCTTAAAATGTTCCGGTGTGTTGCACAGAACCCCACCCTGTTTTGACTGGGCACCCTGGTACCTTTCAGATTCAATTCTTCCTTCGGTTGTACCTTCTGTCGACCCAGGCAGACCGCAGCGATGTGGCCTTTCTTCCCACACGCTCGGCAAATGGTGGAACGGAACCGACATTCCGCTCGCTTGTGGCATCCACCGCATCCGAGGCAACGAAGCTCAGCTGGGCCCTTGTCCTGCCGATCTTTGGACCTCCTCCCAGCTGCTTGGTAAAGCTTGTCCAACTCTTCTTCAGGATCTTCTTCCGAATCCTCTCGCACGTCTTCCTTGTGGATGGTGGCGGTCTCTGGAGCGCTTCGATTAGGCCGCATGTTCTTGACCGCCTCACCTGCAGCTTCTTCTGCTGAAACCTCTTGCAGAGCATCTTGGAAAGAGACATCTTCCATGGCGAACAGCTTCTGCTGTAAGTCTCTGTTCCTCAGTCCGCACACAAAACGATCACGCAGTCTTTCCTCTAAGTCCTTGAAATCACATGGTTTAGCTGCTCTTCTCAAAGCTGCAATGTATTCTTTTGCTGATTCCCCAGCTCGCTGATCCCTCTGTTGAAATGTGTGCCTCCAAGCCATGACAGATTGCTTGGGCTGGAAGTGTTCCTTTAAAACTTTCTTCAGATCAGAGTATGACACAGTTTCCAGCGAGGCCGTGGCAATTAGGTTCTCGGCGATCTCAAAGGCGTCTTGCCCACAAACGCACAACATTGTGGCAGCCTTTAAGCCTTCCTCCCTTATCTGGTTTACGCGGAAGTAAGTCTCGACTCTTGCAACGTAAGATTCCCACTTCTCAGGGTGAGAGATGTCGAATTCCGCTAAACGCCCAACTTTCGCCATGATCGAGGATCAGGGTCTTCTTCAGCCACACGCACCCTCCAGCGATTTCGTACTGGCAGGATAAACGCTGACTTCCACGCCGTTTTCCTCTTCCGGACTTCTTTAGGTGAGTCTTCAAGCTTCCCTAGCTGTATAGACTGAATCCCACCTTCGTCGCCAGTGTTAAGTCCGGAGAATAATGGCTCTTGAGACGATGCATTTCTAACAAGTCTTTATTCTCTGCTTCCAATCTACGAACAACCCGAGCAGAGGCATGCAGGCCTCTATTTATACCTTCTGATTCCTGGGCAAATCCAACCAATTACAAGGCAGTCTTTTCCCACCTTGCGCATGCGCGCAAGGCCGGCACCACTCAGTCTGGTCCCGGGCAGCTTTTGCAAATGCTTGGGACTCTTGCAACGTCCCGAGCCTGCTTTTGCAGGCTCAGGACACAACACATTGGGTGGGCATGGCTGCAGTGGAAACAGCAGACTGGGTGGGACTAAAAAGTTCAATCAATCAATTCCAACTTTGCAAGGTCTTTTTTTTCCCACGAGAAGTTGAAACTGACTGATTGATTGAACCTTCTTTTTTTTTTGCACACAGTGGCAGAGGCCTAAAGCGAAAAGGTTTTATAAAACCCAGCTGAAGGCCTAGGACTGGGGTGATGGCGCGTGTGCCCACAGAGAGGGTTCTGAGTGCCACCTCTGGCACCTGTGCCATAGGTTCGCCACCACTGGAATAGGCAGTTCCTTTACAAGGTTGCCTTTCGTAAGAGCTGCTGGTGATGGAAGAGATGGAGAGCCCTCTCTCGGATCCGCTTTGTCTGCACCCCATAAATAATGGGGTTCATCATTGGTGGGAAGAGCAGGTAGAAGTTAGCCAAGAGGATGTGGATGTAGGCGGGAACATGGTGGCCAAACCTGTGTATGACGGAGGAGAGAACCACAGGGACGTAGAAGACCAAGATGGCGCACATGTGGGAGAGGCAGGTGCCGAAGGCTTTGTGTTGTTCCTCCTTGGTGGCCAAGCTCAAGACGGCTCTGAGGATCTTGGCGTAGGACAGTAGGATGAAGCCCAAGTCAAGGCCAACAATCAGGAGAGCCACGAAGATCCCGTAGAGGTTATTGAAGCGGGTGTCGGAGCAAGCCAGCCTCACCAGGGCCATGTGCTCGCAGTAGCAGTGGGCAATAGTGAAGGAGTGGCAGTAGGACAGTCTCCCAAGCAGGAAAGGGAGGGGCAGCATCAGGGCGACTGCTCTCATCAAGGCCACCAGCCCGGCTTTGGCCACCAAGGAATGGGTCAGGATGCTGTGGTACCTCAGAGGGTGGCAAATGGCCACGTATCGGTCGAAGGACATGGCCAAGAGCACCGCAGACTCCATGATGGAAAAAGAATGCAGGAAAAACATCTGCACCAGGCAGCCAGCCAACCCAATCTCCCCAGCCTTGAACCAGAAGACGGCCAGGGTTTTGGGCGTGGTGGTGAGGGACAACACCAGGTCGATGGAGGACAGCATGGAGAGAAGGAAGAACATGGGATTGTGGAGACTCTGGTCCGTCTTGATCACGTAGAGGAGGGAGCAGTTGCCCAGAAGGGAGATGACAAACACGGAGCAGAAGGGGATGGAGATCCAGCGGTGAGCGTGTTCCAGTCCAGGAATCCCAGACAGGAAGAAAACAAGGGGTTCCAGGCTGGTGTGGTTGTGTGCCAATCTATTGTAAGATCCACTGGAGAGTTGCCTCATTTCCAGATATTTCTCGGTGGGCTTTTCTTGTGCAAACACCACGTAGCTGAGGGTGGAACCGGTTCTTCCTTCCCTCCTGGCCTCGGAAGCAGAAACGCTGCCAGCAAAACAGAAGGTTAGCCCAACATTCATCTTCTCTGGCATTCTGTCTCTAACTCACCAGCATCCTTCGTGAATTTGTTTCTAAGTTTGATCCACCAAGCAGAAATTACAAGGATTTGGGGTTTCAAGAATCCTGTTCTTCCATCCTGTCAGGTAGCAAAATATTCTCCACGTAGAAGGTTAACCCCCCCCACATACACACACACACACAAATCCCCCAAAAAATCTAAAACAAACAAACAAACAAAACTTTCCTGCAACTTTCTTCAGTTCCGGATCTCTTATTCTTTTCTGACCCAGCCATTTGGCCCATTGGTTGCGGACCTGATAAGAACTTGATCGCCAAATTTGAAAGACTCTTACCTTTACAAACCAGCTTCTCTGTCCGTTTGAAAACATGAACCAACCAGTAATTCAGGCAAAGCAAAACACATTTCACATTTCAAAACACGTTAAGGAGGGGGATGGGGTGTCGTGTCTTTTTATAGGGTACAGAAACAAATGATGCATATCCTCGGCGTAGGTGATGTATCAGAAAGCAAGGGTCAAACAATAAAAGGCATTGATTTTATGTGGGATTTGAACAATAGAAAACATGGATTCTAGATAACGTTCCACAAGGGACAAATATATTTTAATAATATATTATATCATTAAAATTCCAAGTAAGATTTCCCAATGTCTGCCACCTCAGCTATCTGTCGATGGGACACCCCACGCAGGGTCTTGGCTTGCCATGCGCCCTTCCCCTCTTCGGTCTTCCTCCCGTGTCTTCTGCTGCTGCCTCAACAGCTCATCTTTGGGTGCTAATCTTGCTGATGCACTCCTGGACGCCCCAGGTTTTTTGGACACTCACCGGGCCCTGACCTCCCCTCTTTCCAGCTGGTGTACAGTCTCTAGGTCTTGGACCTGAGGTGGAAACTTCCCTGGATTGTGAAGAGCTTCCAGGTCTTCATATCTGCAGCCTCCAGGTCCACCTCTAGCCCTCTACCGCCGGGGCATCGGATGATTGGCAGGGCATACATGCTTCACTTGTTCTTCTTCTTCTCTTTTCAAAAGCTGTCACTTTGGTTTCAGGTGATTGAATCAGTTTAGTATCAAGTGGTTCTCCTAATTTATTAGCCAAACATTTTCTGAAGTAAATCCAGTGCAGTTGCGTTGCCTCTAGTCATCTTTTCCTCCTCTACATTCTCAACTTTTTGTTGGTGGTCATTATAATATTGTAATCCAAAAAGGAAAGTGTGTCTCCAACCAACAAAGAGTTTTCCTATGCTCTGGCTGGGGTCAACTTTGAGGGCGCCCAGCTACCCTATTCTTTGGAGGGCTGGTTTCCTTTGACTACAAACCCTTCCCAACACGATTGCTTTCTCCAGTGATCCGTCTACTAGGCATAAGCAAATAAAAGATTGGACTTGATTGCGTTTCACTGCCTCGTCTCTGGGCTTCCCCTGACAATTTGGCTCAGCTTGACTCATAAAATTCAGGCTGTCCACCGACTCAAAACACCTGGAAAATGTGTCGAGCAGCTTCAGCCAAGGCGTCTGTGTCTTATGCCATTCTGGCTCTCCTTTCCTCTAGCTGCTGTACCTGGATGCTTAAACTGTCCCATTTCTAGACAGTCGTCTGTCCCCTTTTTAATTATTGATTTTTCTTTAAAACAACAAGAACCAAGTAAGAGATGGTCTGGTTTCAAGGTCAAGGTAGGAGACCGGGGTTGGTTTCTCCCACCTCCCCAGCGAGGGGAGTTCCCTGGATGATGTGGGGCCAGTCAATGCCTCCCACCCTGACCTCCTTCACAGGGGGCTTGCTGTGGGGAAAGCGAGGAGAGACTGCCTGCCTTAAGGTAGAGGTGAAGGATAGGTTATAAAGCAAAATTTAAAACTGCCCCTTTTACTTTGTCAAAAAAAATTCCTCCCTGTGAAGCATGAAATATATTTACGAAATGCAGCCCCCCCAGATCACGTACCTGCAGATGATGCTCAACTGCTCTCCTTAACTGAACCCAAGCTGAATCTGGAAGGAAAGCGCCACTCGCAGCCTCACCGCTCAGGCTGATGAGGGCTTGGCTGAGGCCAGCCAGGAACTGATGGAGTCTGTTTAGACAAAAGCTTTTTCCCCCATGGAGCTCAACCAGACTCCAGCAGAGCGGGGAGACACACCATCGCCTGCCACAGTGGGACTCCATTTGCTCCCCTGGAACCACCAAGGGAACCCAGAATTGCCAGCAGGTCTCCCTGGGGTCTCCTGTCCCTTCCTCTCCCCACCCCTGGCTCCTCCAGGGGAAATGACATCTGCCCAGCAGGAGCATGCCGTGTTGATCGGGAGATGCTGCAAAGCGGTCCCCTATCTGAGGGTTGTGTAATGTTCCCAGACCTGAAAAAAGTCTCCCCAAGCTTCTCATTTTGTCCCTGGTCACAGAGAGACTTCGTAGCATCAAAGCTCAGTATCTCCAGGCTGTAAAGATAGGAAAACTACAGGGGCTCCTGCAGCGTTTAAGGGGAAAGAGAATTATGAACGTCTTATGCCAGTTCCTTGCGAAAACATACTTCCCACTTTAGATAGATAGATAGATAGATAGATAGATAGATAGATAGATAGATAGATAGATAGATAGATAGATAGATAGATAGATAGATAGATAGATAGATAGATAGATAGATAGGTAGGTAGGTAGGTAGGTAGGTAGGTGGGTGGATGGATGGATGGATGGATGGATGGATGGATGGATGGATGGATGGATGGATGGATGGATGGATGGATGGATGGATTAGATAGGAGAGAGATAGAATAGATAGATAGATGATAGATGGATGGATGATGGTGCCCAAAAGGTTGGGGACCTCTGATGTATCGGATGGAAAGGAATCTTTGTAGCTTTGGTGCTCTCTGAGCTGGGTGGTTTTCTTGCAGACGTTTCACCAGCTCAGAGGATCCCACATTGCTGTACTGTGCTGAGCATAGGACCACCCTTGAAGACCACCCAGAAGCTACAACTGCAGGGCGTCCTCAGCTTAGGACCACAAGTGAGCCCAAAATTTCCGTTGCTAAGCAAAACCCTTGTTAAGTGAGTTTTGCCCCTCTTTACAACCTTTCTTGCACAGATGTTAAGTGAATCACAACAGCTATTAAGTTAGCAACATGGTTAATTGAATCCGGCTTCCCCCACTGACTTTGCTTGTTGGAAGGTCACAAAAGAGGATCATGTGACCCCAGGACGCTGCGACCATCGTAAGTAGGAGTCAGCTGCCAAGCGTCTGAATTTTGATCATGTGATTAAGGGAACGCAGTAGTGGTTATAAGCGTGAAAAATAGTCATAATTTTGAATGGTCACTAAATGAACTGTTGTAAGTTGAGAACTGCCTGTAATTAGCTAATTTCTCCACCTGGGGGCGCTTTTTTAACCTGCTCGTGTTGGGCTCTGTGTCTCCGGACCTTTGCCTGGACATTCTTGACCAGGGCTTAAGCAAAAGGCCACCGTCCCTTCTTCCAGGAATGGCCCCACAGACACAGTCGCAAAGCCACAATCGGCCAGCCGGACTCACACTCCCTATGAGCAAAGTGTTTGCATCCCGCCTCTTTCAGTGTCCAGGTGGGCCTTTGCCACAGACGGCTGGTCCCAACCATGGCTCCATCAAGCCAGAGCATCAACCAGGTGATCCAGACGGACCAGCCCTGGTTGAGGCTCCTGCAGGGCTCGCTTGCAAAAGCCCCTTAAAAGCTGACCAATCAGCTCGCAGGCCAGGCCGCCAGGTGTGAAGGTGGCCAGTTGATGGTTATTTTTCAAATCTCAACTCCAAACAGAATCAAAGCCATGGTTTGTGATGTCACGGGCTCCTCCTAACCTCATTGGCTAGAGGTTGCCATGGCAAACGTCAAACATTCCAGCATCGGTCGCTTTTCTGGACCGCAGCGCTTGGAGGCTCTGCTCAAAGTCCCTGGAGAGCGACCGGACTGGACGGCTGGCACTGAGGGCGGCGCAAGGATCTCCCTCATTTGGGCATCCGGGTTACAGCTGAGTCTGCAGGGCCAACAACCCAAAGATTGGGAGCAAAGAGGTGCTTCTCAAGAGGAACGGACAGTTCCCCTCCACACCTGTGACCAAATCTCCCCACCCTCCAGGTCAAAGGTACATGTGTCCGGCTGGTGGGGATGCGGGCTAAAAAAAGAATAACAGAATAACAGAGTTGGAAGGGACCTTCGAGATCTTCTAGTCCAACCCCTATTCAAGCAGGAGACCCTGTACCACTTCAGATAAGTGGCTGTCCAGTCTCTTCTTTAAAATTTCCAAAGTTACAACTTCTGGAGGCAAGTCGTTCCACTGATTTAATTGTCCTCACTGTCAGGAAGTTTCTCCTTAGTTCCAGGTTGCTTCTCTCCTTGATGAGTTTCCATCCGTTGCTTCTTGTCCTGCCTTCTTTAGGCGCCTTGGAGAGTAGGTGGACCCCCCCTCTTCTTCTTTGGGGCAGCCCCTCAGATATTGGAACACTAACTACCTACTTATAGGTAATCGTTGACTTACAACCATTTGCTCAATCATCCAGGTCACGGTTGTCCTAAAGGTCCTTTTCCAAGAGGCAACTGGACTTTCCTGGTGTTTTTCTTTGAAAACATTTCACTTCTCATCCCAGAAGCTTCTTCAGTTCTAACCGACTTCCTTTCGTCACCATTCAGCCAGAACTGAAGAAGCTTCTGAGATGAGAAGCAAGATGTTTTCAAAGGAAAAAAAAACAAGAAAGTCCAATTGTCTTTTTGAAAAATAATCTTTGGGGCATCAAGTGGTCAGTGTAGATCTCCTCCTCCTGCAGGAGACCACTCTGCAGATGTGTCGGTGGGTTCCTAACTCCCACGTTCTCTCATGCTAGCCGAAGATGGTGGATTCCAAAACTTTAGGGAAGAGCCAGACTGGAGAAGGGCAGCAAAATCCCCCCCCCTTAACTGAGCAGAGGATGTGACTGTGTCTCTCCATTTTTCAAACAGGACAACATGGTGGGAGAAATGCAGGTGATGTCCCTGGACGAAGTCTTAGCCACCAACAAGGTTC